TTTTTCTGTAATTTTCAATTATCTCCTCATGGAATGGGGCGAGGCCCTTCATTTGAAAAAACTTGAATCCCCTTCACCCAAGAATACTTTGTGGCAAGTTTTGTTGATATTGGTCCAGCGGTTCTTGAGAAGAAGTTGAAAATGTGAAAAGTTTACAGACAGATAGACAGCTAGACAGGCAGACGGACGCCGGAAAAAAATTAATCAGAAAAGCTCACTTGAGACTTCGGCTCAGGTGAGCTAAAAAGTAAGTCCACAGTATCTAATGTCGAGTTGAAGGGCATAAAAAGTGCTTTCTTCTTTTAACGTTTATGATTTCGGACAAATTCTGCTTCGTTTGAATACAAATAGGTCTGCTAATATAATACAATTGGTACCCATGGGAATTCAAATAGATTGTTGGAAAACCTGGTCTCCAAAAACATAGATATTGTCAATCAAAAACTCAAGCATGCATCTTTTTTATGTCAACTTCAGAGTACTTGTGTGTTCAATCAGACAGTCTTTGAACAAAATAGTTTTGCAAATGACCATTAACAGGATAAGTTAATTTATGAGTTCCATTTTTTTAATGCAGCTGTTTATGATATCATAAATTAAAGTCTTGGCTTTAATTTATCATAGGGAATGGTCGTATATAGAGTTGAAAAGTCTTAAAATGAAAATGAGTATGAATGCATTATTTTGTACAAAAAGATGATGTGCAAACCTGTTTCGTCTACATGTTCAGGATAACCGTTTCTCTCTGCCATACTTTCTAAAATGAATTCAGTGTATTTCTCGAACCTGTCAAAAAGAAACCATTGAATTGAGGTTATCGATGAGTTTAGAAAAATCTGTTGTTTATATGCGGATTTTCATGTTTTTTTTTTAAACCAGAGACTTTCGCTCAAAAGTTCGATTAAAAAAAAAACAGCAACAGATTTTCACATCATACAAATTTTGTTTAGATATTGTGCATTCTTAACGTTGTTTATACATCGTTAATATAACAATGTTTGATTAGATTTACCGGTAATGTTTGTATGGTGTGCCATTAGTGCTATGTTAGTCAATGGGACTTGTTTTATTTAAGGTTTACGCAACCGTGACTTAAAAATGTTACTATATCTAAAAATTCCGGCTATTTTCCAGCCATTTTTGTGATACACGTGGCAATATCGTTACCCAGACTGGAAACCCAATGGCAACTAGTTGGTGGAAGTCTGTCGTAAAATGGGCATGTTGGTACGTGGTTGTATTGGATACCAGGTTGGCATAGACTATCTAGAGACTTTAAGTTATATTTATTGTAGATAATATTTTTATAAGTACGTTGTAAATATTGTCAATATTGATTTTATTTATAAATAAAAAAAATATAAATAGAAAAAAAAATTGTTGTGTATGATTGTGCAGCTAGGTTAAGGCCGTCCATAGGAAATACACCCTAAAATATTCCGTGAAAATCAATGTTATGTTGATGTTATTTTTATTAACATGAGTTTTTATTTAATGGGAATTCTACTACTGCATATGCATGTATGGGTTTCTGTCAGGTTCAGCCAAAGTGTTGTTTGTCACGTGACACGTTTAAAATTTAAAAAAAATGTACGACTACAAAGACTTTAAAAATCAACGATATACGAATAATTGTTTTCTATGAAATTGGGAGCATTTTAGAAAATAAAGAAATTATGTTACGAAACTTAAGCGTCAGTGTGTCAACCAATACTTTATTGTGCGGTGTGAAATTGGACCAAAATGAAAAGATTTTTGGCCAAGTATAAAACAATTTTGACGAACAAAGGTACAAATGTCAGAAAAAAATATTATTCTGTCTGAATACGAAAGTCTTGTGTCTGATCAAGTTCAAGTATGCAATATTTTAACACTGGGTGAAAAGTCCAGTTTCCGCAAAACTGAAACTATATGGAAACCTTGCTGAAACTTGGCGTTGAAGTTTCCTGTATGGTTTCCGCAATGCGGAAACTATATAATAGTTTCAGCAAGTTTCTGTAGGGTTTCCGTATGCTGAAACTATTAGGTTTGTTTCCAAATAGTTTCCGCAAAACGGAAACCAATGTAAAATTTAATGAAATGTCAATTTAACGATACTTTTTAGTTTCAGTAGGTTTCAGTTTCCGGAAACTATTGATTTCGATTCCATATGGTTTCCGCATGCTGAAACCGAACTGAAACTTTTTCTTTTCTTTTTTTTCAAATGGGTTAAAAACCAACTCAAATGATTTTTTTTTACTATTGATTTCAATTCGATATGGTTTCCGCATGCTGAAACCGAACTGAAGCTTTTTCGATTATTTTTTTTTTAAAGGGTGGAAAAATCAACTCATATTATCTTTACTATTGATTTTGATTCTGTATGGTTTTCGCATGCTGAAACCGAACTGAAACTGTTTTTTATTATATTTTTTCAAAAGAGTAGAAAAATCAACCCATATCATATTTTTATTTACTTATACATTTTAAAAATTGGTTTTATTTTTAAATACCAGATATCTACTAGTTCATATTCAGATTATGAGATGTGCTCTGTGTAAACTGACACATACCGATATTGATATCAATGATAAGCACTTTATACAAGATCCTTGCTTCATATTAATTTATTTCATATTGTGGTGGAATTAAAAAAATATCATTTCTAAACAAAATCGATTCCTCTCACCAGGATTTTCTACATTACCCAACTCGAGACTCCCCCTCGGGAATTAATTCTTTTCATAACATACATTATTTTCACAAAATATTACTTCCGTATGAGAACAAATCAAGGGTTATATATGGAGGTTCCTCTGTCTACAATTACATTTAATGTTAATTTGTTTAAAAAAGAAAATTAGTGTGTCTTCATGGTGCATGAAATACAGATAATTACGAGAGCGAACGTTTACATTATCTGAGATAGCAAGTTTTGCATTTATATTCCTTATACATGTATCTATATTCCTGAATGGAAAATTATCATTTCAATAATTCAATTTGTTAACAACACATACTGACTAGGAAGCCTTTTTTTTACTATTCAGTGTTCAACATAGATATATAGTGCAATAGTTATATTGCACTACATTGTAGTTGTTTTTATAATTTAATACATTGATTTAATATCTCGTACATATAAGTATTTTTATCTCCGTTCTCATTAAAATACATTTTATTCGTTTAACAGGCGTTAATCTTATTCGAAAGCCGCGGGTAAATATTGCAAGAAAACATGTCCTGAACATTTGATGGCATGGTTCTTAAGATCTGCAGCATATTATGTCAATCTAATTAAAATTAAATCGTCTCATTTGTTACCCAAATGCTTATTCGCACGAGGAAGACTTATTAATGTAAAAAGTCTGTTTTGTGAAACAATACCCTGGGAGCGAATGGAAGATCTCATTTTAATTAAGGCTTTTTTATTTATTTATTTATTTATTTTTACAAATATCTTGCTTTCGTGATGTTAATTAATGCAATATTAGTGAAAACGCGGTACCTATACTTTTTAGTAATATGTTCAATTATATTCGTATTGAGATGTATAATGTGCTAAATTTGTGATTTAGAAAACACTTTTTTTTAATATAAGTAGTATGTAAGTTGATCAAATTTTCAATCCTTTTCTTTGAACCTCACTCGCGGGCACCTGTCCTCACGTGCCACAGGTGGGGAGACACGTGTCGCGAAGACACCTGCTACCGTGTTGGTGTATTTTTTGTATATTCTATGTGGATTGAGAGGGTTTTCTACCTTAGAGGAACAATGGGCTGTGACCAGGCGTAATATATACATGCAGTACATGGTATACACAGTATAGTCACTAGTAATGACCCCAAGGTGTCTGAACATTCAAATTTGAAAAATTAAAAAAAAAAAATCCCACACACACTATATATATAAAAAATCCCACACACACTATATATATAAATCAAACAAATAAGATTGTTTTATAAAATATTTTATATAAAATGTTTCATATAAGCTATTAAGTTTATTATGTGTTGGTGATTAAAAGAGAGAAAAAAAAAAAGAAAAACCTCTCAGATATTTATCTACAGATCAATCTAATAAATAATAGAACTAATCTACAGGTAAGGAGAATATTTGCTAGTTCAATAGACTACTTAAAAATTTCAATATTATTTTACAATTTCTCCACAAAGAAATCGGCAATCACAAAAAAAACGACAATTAATGGTATTCCTTGTTTGCCGCCATTGTATTAACTTCAAATATTGAAAATATTTAGAGATTGATGACACGCAACCTAATGAAAACAAAGTCTATGAATTTTATTTCATAACTTTTTTCTCTAGGTTATTTCTAAGTACACAATAAAACAACGTTTTATTTCTAATTTAGAGTCCAAAACAGAAAAGTGTGAGGTTATTACAATAATAAGGAAAAGATAAAAAAGAAAAGATAAGTACATTTAGTAAACAAAAATATACATGACATGTGTAAAGGACTATGACCACTATTACATGATATCATTTATAAATTTGCCCGCAAAATTAAGAGTTTCCGTATCTTCTGTATTGAGTAATAACCAATAATGTTTTGTTCATCTTCTAATGCTGAGAAGTAGCGGTATTTACTATTTTAAAATTGTACATGTACAGATATTTTCTGAGATGGAAATTTTTAAGAATTGATTAATAATTCTTATAACTCCAATTTTGCTTTTGAGTTTCACACAGGTATAAAAAGCAATACCAGAGAGAGAGAGAGAGACAGAGACTCATACAACACATTCTAATATAGTTGTAATTTTTTTCTTCGTTTTATTTAAGTTACGAAGGTCAAAATTAATCATTATATAATTCACTGTATAACAATGATTATAAACTTACATGTATTTTGTTAATTTATCTATTCTATTTTGGGACACAAATAAAAATGTATCCCGTAGTTTAAGATTTTAAAAAACATATAAACATAAATTTGCAGACTTGTTATAAAGTTTTAACCAGCTAATTCGTATCGCTTACTAGAAAGGGGGGGGGGGGGGTAAAATCGCTCTTGTATGTGGATAATATGCCATCAGCATAACTTTGTTGACTTGTATACTTTTTTTTACACAATAATCTAAGTACATGTGTATATGATTTTCAATCTACTTGTAAAAATCTGGACAGTCCGTTTCAACAATTACCATAATCATGATAACCATGATAATAAGGGACTTAAAATACGGTTTTATACCCAACTTCGATTCCATGATCAATTTTATCTAAGCATTTAAAACTGACAGGTTCATTCAGTTGTCATAAATGCAAGACGTCTGCAATATAAAACGTAAAAAAAATATTGCCAAAAGAGAAATGCAAAAACTAAGGGGAATTTTCCGTAGAGACTGACATTCAATCACTAGGTGGCGTATCGCGATAGAATGCTTCTCTCTCATTGGTTAGATTTTTAGTAGAAGAAAAAGGGACAAAATGGCGAAGAAAACACCAAGAACTTGCTCAAGAAAAACAACAGAGATGAGAAGGTCTTTTGACTCTACACAGAAGAAAGGCACCTCAAACGACAGATTAGATACAGGTAGTTATTTCTTACAGTTCAGAGCACCTCTATTTTTGTTTTTATTGTCTGCAATCGTAAGAATAAAGTTGGGTCAAAACGGCGCGTTCCAAAAATTCAAATCGACCATTGTACAGTTATAATTATTTTGAAAAAGCGCCTTGTAAATCATTCTCAGCTTAGGTTGTAATACGTATAATTAATTGCTGTTAAAACGGCCGCATGCATTTTGTACCATAAAAGATTGTATTTATCTTGCATGTTTTCGTATGATTAATTTATTAGAAATAGAATGTGTTTTTCTGCATCGTCCCGATCATGTTAAAAAAAAAATACGTGTTGTAGTATTCCGGAATTTTAAATGTAGGTTGGTTTTAGAGGATAATATCGTTATGAACTTGTATCCGGTGTTTACTTTTTCGGAAAATTGAAAGATTATGTTCTTTCAGAAAAGGTGAGGTTTGTTGTTCATTATAACTGCTGGATGTGTTCATTGTCATTCGCAGGAGTAGTTTCTTGAATCCTACATTTATTTTTTGCTGAATTGTTTTTATTATTGATGGAAGACTGTGCTGCACAGCCGAGGAAGGGGTTGAATATATTTTTAACATACATGCAGTCTAGAATCGTAAATATTAGACATGTTAGAGGGCATCATGTTGGGAGAATGCCATTGTGTAGTATTGTATCACTGTGAAATGCCAATTTGTACATGTTGTATAGTCATGAAAGTAAAATTCCTGAGAACTTGCAGATTTTGTGATATGAAAGTGACTTGATAATTTTCAGAATGCCTGACATTATTCAAGTTGAAGTATTTTATTAAGTTTCATACCATACATTATGAGTTTGAAACATTGTCGTACGTGAACAAAATAGTTATACACAAAGATACATAAACATCATGCTGACACATGTGCATGTTTTGATCTATATGAAACAATTAACACTATTTTAGCAACCTAAAACTTGATTTAAATACCAGTAGTGTGCATGGTGTAATTGTTCATTAGAAATACTATGTTTTTATTGTACCTTGTGTATTAAATGTGGTGCAGTTTCTAAATACATCAGAAATCACAACCATAAAAATGATTCTCTTGATATGAACAGAACAGTATTTACCTGAAGTATGTATTATGATAGACTGGAGCTTGATGAAATGGGCAATTGGCCATTTTCAATTTCTTAAGTTACATGTATTGATTCATTATACAGTCATATATTTGTATTTATTTGTTATCCTTTAGAGAACTTTTTATTAATGTGGACACGTCACCAACACAGGTCTCATCCGAGGGACCAGTCTCTATGTACTACATTGGATTCAGACCCTTGATGTAGGAATCAGCTCTTACTCCCCAACTCTAGGCGTGTTGCTCTAACCACTGGCAATATGACCCATTATGAAAATTTGACATAATACTTTTATGATCTCTAAATTTTATTGACTTGATAAAATGACTGATACACAAATAAGATTTTTGTAATCTCTCTGTAAGGTTTATAGCTGTTTACCATTTGCCATATTTCTATCACTAATTAAATCAGTTTTCAACAATGGCCATTGAAGAGTCCTAGTTCTGTGTTATTATACAAATGATCTTCCCTTGATGTAAAATAGAATATTAAATAAAATTAATTATCAAATGAATTATGATTTTGAATCGGAGAAGGCCTACATATCTTAAACAAACATAATTTAGATGTAGTCTTGCTTTTATGGAAAATTATAACTTATTTAATTTTTCTCACTCGCAGATATAATTGCATTAAATTTTTAAGATCTTGTAAATTGAGGTTGTGATAGCCTGATAGGACTGCCACTTAGAATTAAACCAGAGTGTTACTGTGTCCATTTTAAAATGATACAATTTCCAATCATTTTTTTTCTTTGTCATGTGTCCATTAGAATTTTCACTGCGTGTCAGGTGCAAGGAAATGGGCATGCAAGAAGTTTTTGGGACTTTTCTGAGCTCATGGTCAAAACAAAAAAGTTATTACTGTATGGTACTGTACTAACTCGATCTATTTTAATTTCAGATATCCATGGAACAAATCATCTGAAAATTAAGAGAGGATGAAGAATACTTCTGTTAAAAAGTATGTTTTAGTAGTAAGAACTTATGTAACTCTATTTTAGGAAATTAAGGACTAAAGCACAAAGTTTATGTTTTTATATTCTATTGTTTTCTTAATCTCACTGTATAATTTAAAGCTCTCTATTTATCATAGTCAGTGGTTGTCAGTGTGTGTTGTGGGGGAGGGGGGGGGGGTGTTAGCTGCTTTCCTCTACTTTTTAAGCTTTATATAATATCTTTATATGTTCGGCATTTCCATCAAATTAACAGATGTTAACATTTTCTTCGAAAGTCTCATTTTGCGAGCTAACTACTTAAATTCTCTGATTTATTTAAAATAAGTATTTATAAGCAGGCCTATTTTTAGGTCACCTTAGTAAACTCAGGTGACCTATTACTATCTGTTTTTGTCTGTCGTGTGTTGGCATTTGAACATTTTCAGCTTCTTCCTTGCAACCGCTCAACTAATTTCAACCAATTTTGGTTCAAAGCATCTACAGGTGAAGGGGAACAAAATTTGTAAATTTTATGATACCCCCCCCCCCCCACCCCCCCATTCTTTTTTACTCCTGGACATCAAGCAGTCAAACTGTTGGCATGATTGAAATGAGCACTGAGTCATCTACCATAATTATGAAATTCATGGCCCCAAGGTCAGGGGTTTTAGTACTAGGGTTGGTCCATATAGCCCTTTGGAATTAATCAACCATTTATGATGAAATAACACTTAAGATAACATTTAGAAAATTTTGAAATGTGTGGCCCCAGGGTTAGTGGTTCCTGTGGGGTGGGGTACACAACTGGTGGTTTTAAAATGGAATAGCATTTTATCTTTATTACTCTGATCCACCTTTGGTTACTGAGTAACCAGAGTAAGCATGTTAAGTGTATAATTATGATAAACAATGGTGCGTCTTTCAAAATTTGGAATTTCATGGCTTTTTGTTTAAAACACGAACCAAATTCAATTGAGTAAAAGTTGTTACATGATACCTATTAGGTCTATGGGCCTCTAGTTGTTATTCAAATAAAAAAAATATTTTGATGAACAAGTAGAATGAAAGAAAATTCCTTAATTTATTCTGAAAATCAGGAACAAATCTATACATACATATTCAGGTACATTTAACATGTTTAAATAAATTCAAGTTTGTTTATTTCATTATCCCTAGTCAAGTGTTTAAAAGAGGCATCTTTAATAAACTAATGATATTTTACACTTGATAAATTTTTAGATTTCATTTTAAATCATTCTGATAAAAAAAATGCTTAAAATGTGAAATTAATCAAACAAAAGCTTGTACTAGAACAGCATTAGGGACTTTGTCCATCCAATTAATATTAAATGTTAGATACTGCCTAAATCTAACAACATCCTGTAGAGTGTCACGTCAGAGGTCAAATTCTATTAACCAATCAAATAGTCAACTGCAAAATTATTGTATTTCATTAATTGGAACGAATAAGTCTAGAGTTGTTCCATATTTGACATCTGACGTGACCTTCTATGGGATGTTGTTAGATGTTGTGAAGCGAGTATGCGAGAGGATCTAACATGTTGTTTTATTTAGATTGGGATTTTGTTAAACTATATTTATATATATTTTCAATAGGTTGAAGTAACTGATGAGCAGATCAATCCAACTTGAACATGATATCATTTCTCCAATGATGAAAACAAGTCTCTCTATACTCAAGCATTGATATTTTTAAAGTCAACTGAAACTGGAACAGATCATACATGCAGACTACAGTGATGTGTTGCACAGTTCCGAAAACATGCAGCCACCACTAGCATAAGCATGATAAGTGTAAGTGGGTCATCAAAGAATGAGAACCACTCAAGGACTTTTCTGTTGGTTGATGATGGACTACAAACTGAATTTTTAACAAAGGAATCCACCTTGGTGCTTATTGGCTACTTATGATGTGAACTTGTGCATTTATTATACCAAGTAATTTTACATTTCCTTAATAATACTAGACTTGCATAAACCGAATTCTGGTTTAGTTGATTGATTGCAGTAATGCAGTTCTAAATTCCTCTCGCAAGATTATATCTCTGATGTATGAGACATCATTAAATGCAGACATTTTCTCTGTCCTCCTGTCGTGACTTGAGGGCTCGGACTTAGCTGTAAAAATGTTTATGATGCAAGAGAAAAATGTTCAACCGATGTATGTAAATGTTGATAATAACATTAAATATTCTTTGATAACTAGTGTTAGTGTGTTTTTGTTTTTTCCAATATGAGAATTCAGGGGGAAAATGACTTTTGGTTGAAAACCAGGGCTAAAATTGTGTAGTCAATACTACAGTTTCCGTTGCGGAAACCTATAGTATACCCTATGTATATCAATATTGTAAACGCATACTGAAACCTTGCGTATACCTCAAGTTTCAGCAAGTTTCTGTTGCGGAAACCATTGGTAAACCATATGTATTTCAACCCTATACTCATATTGAAATCTTGCGTATACCTCAAGTTTCAGTTGTGGAAACTATTTGGATTCGTGGACACTTTTTGTTTCCGCACTGCAGAAACTTGACGAAACTTGACGTTTCCGCACTGAAACTTTGCAGAAACTATTAGTAAGCTTAAGTTTCCGCACAGTTTAAGTAGAGTTTCAGCCATGCAGAAACTGTATTTTTCATCCAGTGTAATAATCTTTTTTTGTAAATATTGCGAAAAACATCGGAATAGATTGTGTTGATGTCAATAGTGAACATCCTGACATTGTTAAAATCTGTGAGTCAGAATATTAAAGATAAGGATGATGTTGAATTGATTTCTTTTCACCCTGTAGACAACGACTTTGTAAGTAAATGCATTAACAAATTGGGCTTGTAAAAGGATACTGAAATTGATGGTATTTCGGCTAAAATTGTTAAAGTTAGTCTCGAACATATTTTGAACCCTGTGACTAATATTGTAAATTTTGTTTTTCTCAAAAAGTTTTTTCAGATCGAATGAAAATTGCACAAATGGTTCCACTCCACAAGAAAAAAGGATTGTGGACAAAGGAAACTATGGACCAGTTAGTATTTCATCTACTTTGTCAAAAATTTTTGAAAGGGTTATTCATAGTCAATTGCCATTTCAATAATACATGTATGTTGTCAGCTTTTAGACCAGGTATGGTCGTCAGAGAGTGTTGCTAAAGATTGTTGAGGATTGGAATTATGCTCTTGATCATAAAAATACAGAGCAGCAAGTATGATGGATTTATAAAAAGCATCTGATTGTATTCCACATGATCTAGTTTTTGCAAAGCTTAATGCATATTGTTTTACAAACGTAGCTACTTGTCTTATCTCAAGCTATTTAAGCAATCGAAAACAGTATGTAAAACTGGGGGATGTCTGTAGCGAATTTTTTTAGAATTGTACAAAGGTGTTCCACAGGGTTCAATAATTGGTCCTGTTATTTTTAATATTTTTTATCAACGATATTTTTTCATTTTGTGTCAGATTGTGATCTCTACAACTATGCTGATGACAACACTCTCTCAAACTCAGGTGATGACATTGCATCACTAAAATACTTTAGAATCAAATTGTTCAACCTTAGTTAAATGGTTTGGAGATAATCAAATGCAAACAAATCCCGATAAATTTCAAGATTTCTGTCTCGGAAAGAAAACTAAACAGGAAAACATTTGTTTTGAAATTGATGGTAATATGATTCATCCGGAAAACGAAGGAAAATTACCGGGTGTTTCTTTAGATTTTGAGCTTGAGTTAAGCTCTCATATTTGAAACATTTGTAAAAAAAAAAAAAAAGAAAAAAAAAGAAAAAAAAGAAAAAAAAAAAAAAAAAAACCTTCGGAACAACTAAATGTGCTTAAGAGAATAGGGGTACACCTGACCAAATTAGGAGAACTCACCATTTATCATCAATTATCATGTCAAACGTCAACTACTGTCTATTAGTTTGGCATTTTTGTGGTGATCGAAAAACAAGAAAAATGGAATTGATACAGAGCATTACGTTTTTTTATGACGACTGCAAAAATTCATACAGTTATCTTCTAGACAAATCAAAATTGCCATGGCTCAAACTCAGAAGTATTAGAACAATGGCCATAGAATGTTTAAAGATTTTAAACAAACAAAGCCAATCTTACCTGCAAAATTTTATCCATATCAAAGAAACACCTTATTGCAGCCCAGACGACCGGGCTGCTCTTTATATGTAAGTTTAAGTGTTGGTTTATGGGGATTGAGGTGTGAGAAGGTATTCAGTATTCAGAATTAAAGGTTTTCTAAACATTAAAAAGATTGTTAATCAGAATGTTATTTCCCTTGTAAATTACGAGATACACAATATATTTAGTTCCATAAAGAGAATATGTAAAAACATATATGTTTTTCATATTTAATATATAAAGTTGCTCATCATTTGCTATCGAAAAAAAAAGATAGGTCCCCTTTTTTAGAACATCGAATTTTACTTTTCGCATAAAAACAGTTCCTGTTTATATTCTTAAAGTGAAATACATTTCTAAAAATAGATGATGCATGTGTCTGGTTACAATTCATATTTTATTCAGTCAACATTTACTAGAGGAACTGATAAAGTTTAAAATGGTATCGTTTTCTATTTTCATCCTTCTATAAGTTTTCAAAATATTCTCGACTATCGTCTCCCATATGCCTTTTTCACACATATCGAAGCGGTTTAATGATCAAGACTCATTTCTATTGTTTATTTACTTTATTTATTTCTCGGGCGATAATTGATGGTTACATCAATGTTTTCTTGTTCTTTTAGATACACGGAAACTGCTGCTTTACCAAAAACAAGATCTAGATCAACATCACATGGGTTGAAGTCTTTTAGATATAAGTCTGCCAAACTTTGGAATTCTGCACCAGAATCTTTTTGAAATATTGCTACTTTTAACCAGTTCAAACCAAATATAAGTAGTTGGTACGGAAAGTGTTATAAGTGCTGTGCTTGTCGCTAATTTTATTTTTAGAAACTAGTAAAGGGGGTTTCATTTATTTTCATTTTGCTGGTCTTAATGCGGTGAATAGTATGTCATTGTAAAGCACCAAGGAGTATTAGTGATATTTTGATAGTGTGATGTAATTTTTAAAAGCTCTTTCTTGTTATGTTATATTATTGTTGTATTTTATGTAACATTATTATATAGTCTGAAAATAGCTCTTCAGAGGTAATGTTCTTTGTTGATGTAACCGATTTTAAATAAATATTATCTTATCTCTTAATCTTTGTATTTCATTTCTTACCTTGTCTAATTTTTTCAGCAAGAGTTCTTCAAGACACAATTCTTTGTGCCTCTAACTATAATCCTGTGCAATAGAAGAACAAAATATTTTCGCCTTTGAAACTTTTAAGTTTCAAATCCAATTTGTACATAAATTCAAACAACATATTTGCCAAACATAACCGGTCATCTTTGTAACGGTTCTTTTATAAAGCAAATATATCCGTCAAAAGGGTAACCCTCTATGGAAATACAAAATACAAGCTAATGATTGATTTGATTCATTGTATATTGTTTAACGCCCCTCTCGAGAATTTTTCACTCATATGCAGACGTCACCGAAGGTCTTCAAATTTAGACCCTATACTCGGCACTCAGGGCCATTGAGGAGTGAAGGTTCTTTATCGTGCCAACATCTACCGTGTCACGGGACCTACGTTTTTAAGATCATATATCCGAAAGATCCGTGACTTTCACTTTTAGTGCCGAGTGCTTGGCGAAGGAACAGTCAGTACCTATTAAGTATGTTTACGTATTAGGTATGACGCGGTTCCCTATACTCGGCACTCAGGGCCATTGAGCAGTGAAGGTTCTTTATCGTGCCAACATCTACCGTGTCACGGGACCTACGTTTTTAAGATAATATATACGAAAGATCCGTGACTTTCACTTCTAGTGCCGAGCGCTTGGCGAAAGAACAGTCAGTACCTATGTTTACGTATTAATTAGGTATGACGCGGCGCCGCGAATGAGAATCGAACCCGGGCCTCCCGATACAAGTTAAATCATATTACCTCTAACATAATGGACTACAAAATGAAAATATAGGGTTATTGAACTTATATTGGTGAATATTGGCACGAGTTGGCTGTTCAAATGCACGAGCTTGCGAGTGCATTTGAACAGCCAACGAGTGCCAATATACACCAATATAAGTTCAATAACTCCTTTATTATATAGCTAAAACATTTCCACATAATTCATATTAATTATTCCAACTAAAAAAGTCAAATTAATGATTTTCTAGTATCTGTATTCAAATTAACGTCTTTCCTGTTAGCGTTCAATATCATATCATTCCGATGACCCTACCGTCAGCGATATGATTTGCTTATTTAGCTTTTAACGGGTCTAATACGTACTGAATTTTTAATAAATAATTTCCTTTTGTGTGAAAAATAAACACATCTTACCTAGATGCCACTTCATTTCGTTAATTTAGGTCTGAGAATTTGACCAGACGACTTTTTTGTTTACAACGGGGCGTTCGATATTGAACGCTCGTATTCGGAATGTTTCGGACATACTCGTTTACATAATATTTTTGGTAGTATTTTATTAGAGACTATTTATTAGCTATATAATAATTATTTTTTATTGATATATGTTTAATTTCATCAACAATGCAATGCAACGCTTAATGTCATAAATTCTCGCATTAACGGTTGGCATTCTCAACCGGTAATGCTTAATCGACACTAAAAGGAAAAATTATATCATTGAGCGGTTGAGAAAGTCAGCCATTAATGCAATAATGTCTTACATTAGGCGTTGCATCGCGACGCTCAATGGTATTTCTATTATTAAGCGGTATTTTATCATTAGCGGTTGCTACAGTGTACAGTGCATCCTTTCCTCGCTTGAATCGAGAGGGCAGCATATCAGCTGACAAACATGGCCCACATTTGCACTCTTGACTTCACGACAGTCGAGTCCGATGCCTTTATACAAGCCAATTTTTTATCGAACGACAGGATTTTCGACTTTAACAAATAATATCTAAAGCATTTCTGGAAGTGAAAGGCGATGGGTAAATACTATTGAAAATTTATTAATTGGGGGGGGGGGGGGGGGGGGGGGCTGCTGAAGTTAGTATAATATTTAAATTTTACTCTTTAATAATTATCCTAAATTGTTCTGTGGGGAAAAAAACTACCCATACGAAAAATAATATTAGAATTCAATCAAGATATTTCGTTGACGATTAT